GAGCACCACACCTGGTGGGTCCGCCACAGTGGTATCAGAGCGGGAACGTTCCCCGCTCCCACCCACCACCCCGTACAGCTTAAAATTTTGGCGTTTTCGGGCCGTTTTTCGACAAAAACGAGGGAAAAAAGAAGCTGCAGCAGGAAGTGACACGTGGTGGAAAAAGCACATGCCACCATGAGTGCGTAGGCCGCCGCACGCTAGCGCGCGCCACGATGCCCAACTGCCTCGCATTTATATTACAAAGATCCAGGATGTTGCTGCCACTGGGGTTTAAACCCGAGCACCTGCTGGGCTTGCGCATGCGTAAGCTACTCCTGTAACACGCTCGCCATACTGCATGTATGGTTTTATAGTGTGGCACGTTGTTGTTGAAGAGGTGCGTGCCAGCTATTTACCCCTCCCCCTCCCCCGGCGGCTAGCAGCGAGCAGCAGGGCAGCAACGGTCGGGCTGCTATTTGCCCCCCCCCCCCCGCGGTTGCTGCTGCCTGCGCACGTGGCCATCTACAGTGCCACGTGGCAGCCTACTGTGGAGACTGAAGACCCCCCTGGCAAGGGGGCTGCGCCACATTAATTTTATTTTTTTTTACTATTTTTCTACTGCTGCAGCAGCAGTTTTGCAGCAGCTCAAGATTCTCCCCTGCCTAGGGGGTTGTGTGACTCTGGCAGTAGGGTGGCTGATCAAGATCTCAGCCAACCCTAGATCATCATCATCATCATCTCTTATTGCTGTGGCATCAGGCCAGCAGCACCTTGAAGGCCAAGATCCTGTGAATCTTGGTAGTGTTTTGCTCTTGGCCAACCAAGAGCCTGGTATTATCTCTCTCCACTAACCTACCCTCCCCCAACCCCTTTTTTCTCCCCCCCCATCATCTAATCATCCTTTCCAACTCTACCACTACCCTCTCTCCTCCCACCTCCCTCTTCACTCATCTCCCACCACCTTTTTCTCTCCTCCCCTCCCCACTCACCATCTTCTACTAATGTCATCTCCCCCATCTCCCACTTCATTCCTTCTCTCTCTCTCGCCTATCCCTCTCTTCTTCATCACTCTTTCATCCCGTTAACCCCCGCTACTCCGAATTTTTCTACTTTTCTTCTTTTCCCTTTCTCTTTGCTTTCAATCTTCTCTTTTCTCCAAAAATTCGAATTATCTTATTTGCCCCCCTCCCTTCACATTTTCTGATTTTTTTTATTTATTTATTTTTTTTCTGAAAATTCGAATTTCTTTGCGGCACCCTTAAATCTTGCTTTCGGCACACATTTTGACCCCGTGGGGGTAACAAAGTGTTGCCGAAATTTTCTGTTTTTCCTTCACTTAGTTTTTCTCGGCACACTTCGCACCCATGGGGGCAACGAAGTGCTGCCGAAATTTTTGAAAAATCAGATACTTCATTTCTCTCCACCTCCTCATCCACTTATTCACCTATTAATTTATTTATTTATTTATTTATTATTTTTTATTTTATTTTATGAACTTTTTAATTTGTGGCATTTTGAAACCTAGTGTGCTTATCTTGGTCTCTCCTTCCCCCTTGGCACATTCTTGATCCCATGGGGGGTAGGGAAATGCTGCCGAAAATTCTAAAAAAATAAATATTATTTCTCTCTTCATATTTTATTTCCTTATTTTTTTAATTATTTTTATTATTATTTATTTTTTTATTTATTTTTATTTTTCTCTCAAAATCTCGCTGTTTATTTATTTTTCTCCCGCCTTCCCTCCCTATGCTTGCTATTTTATTTTCTTGATTAGGTCACCGGTACCCTACCCTAACCACTCAAACTTCGGTTAGGGTTTTCTTAGGGTTTTTCTAGGGTTTAGGGTTTTGCTAACCCCCCCCCCTACTTTTCCTCTCATTCGGCCACCCTGGATCCGAACCACCCCTCCCCCTTTGACGGCGTCCACGCTCGATTTACTAGCGTCGCCCGTCGCTTTCTATCGCAGACCTCCCCCTACGCCCTCCGCTCACCCGGACCTCGTCCGGCCCTCCCTAGCCCGGCCCGGCGACGACCTCGGCATCGGGCTCCACACCCGTGCCAACGGACCAGGGCTACCAGCCCCAGGGGGACCTGCACACCCTCATCACCTCCCTCCTTGCGCCCTTACAGGCGCAAATGGCGACTCAGGCCGCTGGCCTGCGGCAACTCCAGGACGCTGGTCGTCCTTCCTCTCCTCATTTTCTCTCTTCTCCTGGCTCCCAGTCCGGGTCCCCCGTCCTCCGACATGGTGGCCACGGCGGAGCTTCCTCCTCTGTCGCCCCCAACCCGGCCATCCTGGTGACCGTCCACGCTCCTAGCACGACGGCCGCCACGGGTCAAGCCCTCCCTCAGTCTACGGGCGCACCCGCCCAGATTCCGGTCACTACGGCCACGGGAGCACAACCCGCTACCATGATCTCAGCTTTTCCGGGTGCCCCGCTTCTTGCTCCCCTTCGCACGATCGCAGTGCCACCTGGCTCTCCCCCCTGTGGGATGCCCCGCGCCGCTCGTGCGTCCACTCCCCCCACTCTTCCTCCGGCCACTCCTCGCTCGATCTACGTCCAACGTCTCGAGGACGAGCTTGCCCAGACCCGGGCCGACCTCGCCCTCTTACGCCTTCAGCGACCCCCACCCTCACAGGTGGCCGCGCCTTCGGGCGCACCCCCTCCTTCCTCTACCCTTCCTTCCATGCAGGCTTGCTTCCCTTGCCCTGCACCCTATCCATCCCCATCCTACCTTCTTCCTATTCTCGCGGTTGCTGCGACCTCTTCTACCGCAGCTCCCTCGCAGCCTGCCGCTGTTGCCCCTGCCGCTCCCCCATGCGGCCCGGGCGCACAGTCAGTTGCGCCCCTTTCTCCAGGACTTGTGCCGACTTACTCAGTCGTGGCATAGACCTCTGCTCCTCCATCCCCTCACCGCCAAAATGGTGGCGCACCACTCATTCGCTTGACGGACATTGCCTTGTACGACGGTACAAGCATACGTGTGTCTCGGTGGCTACAGTCTGCCACCCGCACCCTCCAGCTCATGGGCGCCCCACCCAACACGTGGGTGGGTCACCTCTCTACGCTTCTGCGTGGCGGTCCTTTTGACGCCTGGGAGGAATTCTACGCTTGCTCCCTTCATGCGGGTCGGACTCCGACCTTCATGGATTTTCAGGCGTTCCTCGAGGATTGCTTCGAAGCCCGACATGACGTGACTGACGCCTTCGAGTGTGTCGTCACTACACGCTGGTCCGGCTCTGGTGGAGCTGCCGGCCTGGATCGCCACATCCAGGTCTTTCAGGACGCCCGCCTCATTTGCGACGTGGCGTTCCTCCCCGAGGCTGCCCTTATCAATCGTTTCTTGGTCAGCCTTCCGCTCGAGTACCGCTCTGAGTTATGGCGGTACGAGTTCACATCGGCCCCGCACGCTTATGAGGCCGCCAGGGACCATCAACGGATGCGGGCCCGTCTTCAGCCCACTTCCTCCTCCCAGCCTCAGCGTACTGGTTACGTCCCCTCCTCCTCTTACGACACTTCCCAGCGCCGTTCCCCTTTCCGCGGTCGCCCCCGCTGTTCTGCGCAGCAGGGCCACCACTTCTCGCGCCGCTTCAATGCGCTCGAGCATGGTGAGCAGGACGTTGTTGCCCCGCTGTCGCCCGAGGGTGACCATAGCGACGACCTCAACCTCGACGAGGCGTCCATTACCACCTGGAGGACTCTACTCTCCCTATGGTCGAGCGCCTCCAGCTCATCCTCTCTACCCTCTCCCGGGCACGCAGCCGCCCTGGTCACGCTGGTGCCTCGCCCCCCAAGATCCCTCAGCAGGACCTTCCTCAGGGCTTTGTCCCTCCTCGCGGTGTCCTTTCCGTTGAGGAGCGCGCGGCTATTTTGGGCCGGCGTGGGTGCTTGCGCTGCCGCCAGGACGGTCATACCTCCTCGCGGTGCCCTTACACTGTCGCCCTTGACCGCCACTACGCCGACCTTTCCTGCCAGCGTCGTGCTCAGTCCCCCCTCGGCGCCTCGCATCCCCGTGGCGCCTCCTAGCCACGGTGCAGTGTACATCTGTGCCCTCCTCATTAGTCGGCTTCCCGACATCCCCGTCGCGGTTTGCCCCTCTCGCTACTGGAGTTGAGGTCTCGCAGGACCCAACAAAGTGTACTCAGCCCTTTGTCGCAGTACCGTCTGCGCCTCCGCAGACCACCGTCTCCTCTCCTACCCCGCCGCAACTACCGACGCGTCGAGCCATTCGCTCAGCCCGTTGCAGCGAGCAGCTCGCTACTCGCGAGGACGTTGTGTCCTCTCTTCTGGATTTGAGCATGCTCCAGGCTCGTCAGGAGCGACTCACCCTTCATGTCGCTGCACTGCGTCGCCTTCTCACCATCCTCTCTGACCCTGATCGCACCCTCTCGATCATCCCCATACGACTGGGAACCTCCACGAGGGTGTACTCAGCGCTCTTGGATTCCGGTTCTCAGGGCGACTTCATTCACCCACGTGTGGTGAAAGAAGCCCGCTTACCCACGACAGGGTCTCCGACTCTCATCTCTGTCACCCTAGGGGATGACAAGACCCAGTGCTTCTTCTATCAAACGGTCACCGACCTCCCTTTCTTCCTCACTCTCGAGCCAACTGATCGTCCCCTGGCGTCTCGTCGCCACCGAGGCCGATTGGGCGACCAACACTCTCGTTCTCGAAACGAAGTGTGGACAGACGTATCGCGTACCTTTCATAGGTACCACTGCGACACCACGCCCCGATCCCTCTCCCCCGGAGTCTTCCGTGCCCACACCATCTCCTTCTATCACTGTCACCTCGCCTCAGCAGTTCACCCACTTCATCAAACAGGACGACGTCACCTTCTTTATGGTGAATGTGACGGATCTCTTACACTTTGATCTACCCTATCCCGACGCAAAGCTCATCCCTCTGGAGCCTAATCCTCCTTCTATCTCCATGGCTCCCATCTCTACTTCCGTCCCCCCGCCGTCCGTCGAGTCCACCTCGCCGTCGTGCGCTAACGCTGACGCTGAGGAACTCGCACACTATACAGCCGACCTGGAGCCCGCAGTTCGTGACCTCATTCGAGAGTACCACGACGTTTTTCCATCGTCGTTCTCGTATGCCGGCATCCCACCGATGCGCGACGTCAAGCACTTCATCCAACTTGTGTCTGACTATCGTTTTCACCACCAGGCACCCTACAGACTCTCGATCCCCGAGGCCAACGAACTCAAGCGTCAGCTTGAGGAGCTCTTGAGACTGGGTTTCATTAAGCCCAGCAACTCCCCGTGGGGTGTACCCGTCCTCTTTGCTCGCAAAGCGGATGGAACTCTCCGTCTCTGCATCGATTATCGCGGTCTTAACCGCTACACGGTTAAGAACAGCTACCCCATGCCTCGTTCCGACGAGTTGTTCGACCGCCTAGCAGGCAACCGCTTCTTTACGAAGATTGATCTTCGTAGCGGTTACCATCAGATCCGCGTCGCTGCAGCGGACCAGCCAAAGACAGCGTTCCGATCGCGCTTCGGCCACTACGAGTTTACGGTGATGCCATTCGGCTTCACCAACGCACCCGTTACCTTTCAGAGGGTAATGAAGGACGTCTTCAGCGACATCCTGGAGCAGTACGTTCTCATTTACCTCGATGACATCTTGGTCTACAGTCGTACCCTTGAGGAACACCTCAGACACCTCCGCGACGTCCTTGACTGCTTAAGCAGACATGACTTCTACGCCAAGCTGAGCAAGTGCCGCTTTGCCCAGCACAATATGGATTTCTTAGGACACTATGTGTCTGACCATGGTCTCCACATGGACGACGCGAAGATCACTGCTATTGCGGAGTGGCCCGTCCCCACATCCGCCAAGCAGCTTCGCAGCTTCCTATGACTTACCAGCTACTATAGTAATTTCATCTAGGGATACGTTAGGTATTCTTACATCCTTACCTCCACCCTCCTCCGGAAGAGCCCGCCCTGAGCTTGGACACCCGTCCACGAGGACGCCTTCCACGCCCTGAAGAAGGCAGTGATATGCGCACCGGTTCTTCACCTACCTGATTTTGATCGCCCGTTTATCCTTACCACCGATGCGTCAGACTTTGTTGTAGCATGATGCCTACTCGTCCAGCTACCGACGAGCCTTTTATTGACTATTCTCTTACCATCGCCGAGGGCGGCACTGTCAAGTCTCGCTCAGGTGATTGTCCGATAGCCTTCTACTCCCGTCAGCTCCTCCCCGCTAAGATAAACTACACCGCTGATGAACGTGAGGTTCTCGCAGTAGTTTATGCCGCTCGGCACTGGCGTCACTACCTGCACCGGACACCATTCACAGTGCCTACGGACAACTCTGTTGTCCAGGCTTTACTGATAAAGTCGAAGCTCACTCCTAGACAGGGTCGCTGGTGGCACGACCTATCCGAGTTTAGTTTCACCACTTAGCACATCAAGGGTGAGACTAATCGGGTCGCAGATGTCTTATACCGGCGCTCTGACCACGACCAGGAGCAGATTCAGCTCTCTTCCATCTCGGTCACCACCGTCCACCACTCCGTGATCGACAAGTTTCACACTCAGTACCGCCATTGCCCTGACTATCGCGACATCCACGCGACCCTTCGGAGTGGCAAGACCGTCCCGAACTACTCTCTCGGGGACAACGGTCTTGTGTACTGGCACGGTTCACAGGGCACCAGAGAGCCCCGTATTTGCGTTCCCTCCACTAGACAGCTACGTGTCCGAGCAGTAGCAGTGTTCCATGACCAGGCAGTCGCCGGTCATATGGGATTCCACAAGACGTTGGCTCGTGTGAGACGCCTGTACGTCTGGTCGAAGAGCAAGGACTTTGTGAAGGACTACGTCGCAGAGTGTCACACCTGTAAGGAGGTAAACAGTGCACCCACCTTCCTTATGGTTTGCTCCGCTTCTTCCTATCCCTGAGGGTCGTTGGCAGTCCATCTCGATGGACTTTATTGGTCCTCTTCGTCCTCCGACTCCCCGCGGTCATGATGCTATCCTGGTCGTCGTCGACCGCTTCACGAAGCGTGCACGCTTTGTTCTGTGCCGCCATGCCATCCGTGCACGTGAGGTCGCCGACATCGTGTTTGACCGAGTTGTGCGTGACCACGGCTTACCTCTGAGCATCATATCCGGCAGCCGATTCTGGCGACGGCTCCACGAGGTTTACGGCACCCAGCTCCGCTTGTCCTCGTCTTACCATCCCCAGACTGATGGTCAGACCGAGGTCACGAACAGGACTCTCGGAGATATTCTCCGAAAGATTGTTCATGACGACCAGTAGTGGGATCTCCATCTTGCCCACGTGGAGATAGCCTACAACCATGCCGTCTCGCCAGCCATGGGGAGGTCGCCTTACTATTGCGACCTCGGCTATCACCCTTGTGTTCCCGTGGACTTCCTTCGACCGTCACAGATGCACCCCGACACGAGTTATCCCGCACTGGATGATTGGGTTGCACACATGTCGTCGATCATGAAGAACGCACATGAGCACATAGTCGCTTCCCAAACTCACATGGCAGCACGTGCGAACCGATCGAGGATGGACCATCCATTCAAAGTCGGTGATGATGTGCTTATCGACGCTCGCCATTTACAGCTCGAAGCGGACACGCTTCGCAAGTTTCGGCGTCGCTTCTTTGGCCCATGCTGCATCCTCCAGGTCGTCGGTTCTGATACGACATCTAGCCCGGTCAACTTCCGTATGAAGTTGCCCGACTACCTACGCCAGGCTCGTGTGCACGATGTCTACCACGTCTCATTACTGCGTCCCTACCGTAGACCGTCTGAGCGTTTCGTTGGACGACCATACGAGCACCCTCCACCCATCATGGTGGACGGCCACGAGGAGTTCTTCGTTTCAGACATCATTGGTCGCCGAGTCACCGACGACAACCCTCCCCATGTCGAGTATCTCATACGTTGGAAGGGTTACCCTGATGAGGAGGCTTCTTGGGAGCCTCTCGAACACTTGCAGCACGCTCACATGTTGGTGTGTGCCTATGACCGTGCTCGTCATGATGGGTCGACTGCTCCCCCTCAGCCCACTGACCCTCCTCCTTCTCCCTCGGCTGAGGAGATCGCTAAAGTCGACCCTGCCCCTTCTGAGGCAGACCTTCAGCAGCAGCCGTATGCTTCTGAGCGTCCACAGCGCACTCGTCGTCGTCCTGCTCGATACGACGATTGACTCTGACTTACCTTCCCACGTCTTTGACTTCTCAGTACTCCATCCACATCAGTTTTGCTACTTCAGCTCGTCGACGTTGTGGTTCTTCCTCGACGGCATTCCAGACTTCTCATCATGGACGTCATCGGCAGCTTCATGGACTTCGTCACGATCAGCTCTGCCTACTTCAGACGTCATCACTCTCTTACCACTTTACTCTGTACAGTACCCTGGTTGTGTCGCATGATGGTCTCCCTTCGTCGGGTTCCTCTGAGTTGGGCTCTCCCTTGGTATACACATAGGCATCGGGACCGTAGCGTTGCCCTAGCTTCCCAGCTTACGGATCTAGCTCCGACTTCCCTCACTTTAGGAGTCATTTGCATGATTCCCTTACGCATCACCTTTCTACCCTCTGCCCACCCTCATGCCCTAGTTAGGCAGTCCTGCATGCTTCATCTAGGCGCGCCAGTATACCAGGCTCCCTTGTTCCCTTGCATGGTCGACCCTACATAGCGGTCACCCCTTTAGTCGAGCATTACCCGCCCTGATGGTCTATCTGTTAGGGTCATTGGTTCTGTTCGCTCCCAGTTCCCTACCCTCATTGAGCCTGATTGCATGTGTCTCCCTGTTGCTTTGTGTGGTGCCATTAGGAGTTATCGACCCCTAGGCTGCATTCGCCACCCTCAGAGACCATCCCACCCTTTGGTTTGCGACACACTCCTCAAGTGACATATGGTTGACTTGTTGTTGCTTTGTTGCTCTCAGACTGAGGCTACTGCCTCTTACATTTCTAGGATTTAGTTTTTCTGTTGTTGCTGTTCTTAAGACTTATACACTAGTCTGTTGTTTCTAGACTGAGGCTACTACCTCCAACATTCTAGGACCTAGCTGTCATTACTTTCTGCTTCCTTAGGACATGTATGCTAGTTAGTTGCTTTTGCTTTCACTTAGGCTGTTAGTTGTGACATTGTTGTTTTTGTGACATTTTCTATTCTAGGTTGCATCGCATGGACTCAGAATGGAGCTTGCTCCACATCCTAGACTACTTCGGTTTTTTTTTTTTTTGTAGAGTTCTGCTTCTTGGCAGAAGCGTGTTTGTATTTAGGCGATCCATCACAGGCCGAGGATCGTGTAGCGGACCTCTGGTTGGCCTGTCCTCACAGTTCTGTGTTGTATTCAGGGCAGTCCAGTCCAGGCCGGTACATCTGCCGGTACCAGCTAGTCCAGTCCAATCCAGTCCGTTGGGGTATACCCCAATTGTTGTTTGTTTTCGGATTCATTCTGCATTCGCACAGTTTGGAGTACGTGCGTTGGAGTCTTGCATGGAAGTTGCGTTGTGCCATCTCGCTCCCCTTCTTCCTCCATCTCCATCTCTGTCCCAGGCGGAGCACCACACCTGGTGGGTCCACCACATCAAGCCCCGTGATTCTGATGTTTGTCCCATGGACAATGTGACGAGGGAGGGGCTTGACTGTCCGGTGTAGCAGACACAGAGGGATTCGCTCAGCTGCAGGCCTCCGAGAATGGAGTTGTACTTTGTTCGTCTTGCTTATGTCCTGTTGCCACACGAGAGAGAGTCGGTGTACGACTCGAAACTTGATTCCCTGGCACGGGACGAGATGGAGCGGAGCCTTGGTCTGATCTGGATGACCTCGCCGTCGAGTTGAAGCCTTCATCCGATGACGATGATGCGCCCCTCTTATCTTTGCACAAGCCTACGAAAGGGTCGTCTTCGGCACCTCCTGCACACCATCTAATTTCGCCGACTTCCACTGCTCATGAAGCTTGTGACACAACTGCCTCAGGGGGACGGAGCCGGTCCTATATGTAGTGCTGCAGCATAGCAAAGAGTGTCCTCGACACCGGAGCGCAATGAGGACAATGATGATGATGAGGCCGACAACGGGGGCTATGATGGCAGCATCAAGTATGAGGATGATCGTGGTTTTGAACCGGGTTCAGGAGGTAGAGGGGGAGGCGACGATGAGGATCATGGCCCTTTCGCACCATCTCTGGGCATCCAACATTCAAAGAGATTGCTAAAGGGGAGAGAGTGTGTCGCAGGCAGGGTAAGGCCAGCGACCAACTGATGGGGACATACAAGGGGAGACAGTACCTCTTCAGCGCGAAAGGCGGAGGGCCCCCTCGTAATGCGGTAGTCCTCATCCGCACAAGGCATGAAGACTGCCACCAATGATATTTGTCACATGTCACTGGACTTTCGCCAACTCCACAGGACGCAAGCGCTGATGGTGCAGCCGATGTCAGCGGTGACTTGACACCGGTGAGCCACCTTGTTTATGGATTATCCCCTCCGGGGTCGTGGCTAATTACCTTTTGCGTGAAGTGGCGGAGGGGAGTCAGGGAATTGTTGGAGTTGGAGTGCATCGGAGGGGGATGAGACCAAGTATCGACCCGCCGCTTACAGACGGATCAAGACAGAGGAGCAAAGGAATAACTACATGGATATGGGGAGCGAGTGCAAGAGTTGGCTCATAATTGCGAGATCACGTAGGGGATTGCATCTGAGCAGGATGCACAGCGGAGGATTGAGACAGGTGCCCCAGAGATCGAACCCTGACGAGATGGAGGTAGAGGGTGGAATTTATGGGTCGGCCTATGTGCCTCGCCCTTGTGACGGTGACGACGCTGATGGTGGGGCTCTGGGAGGAGGAGGGGGGGATGTTATGGGACCGTTTGTCAGGGGACGGGCGAGGAGTCACGCAAGTCGGAGGGTGAAACTGACGCAACCGAGGCAGGCGGAGGAGGAGTTGGAGCATCGTTTGTAGGTGCGCTGAGGTTGCGAGTGGAGGGGTATGCGACCACCGGGCCATGGAGGCAATCACTGGCATGCCTCCACCACCCGTTCAGGGAATTTGTGCACTACGCTTCAAAGGAGCTATGTCGATGGGAGAGCTGGAGTATGAGGCACAGGAGGACCCTCTGGGTGCTGATCGTATAGGACGAATGGAGGAGGAGGTGAGGAGGGTCATGGCAGAGCCCCCCCCATACGTGCCATGTAGTCGATCGTACCATCTTCTATGATGAGCATCACCCCACCTTCATGGGATCCTCCTAGGCAGATGTAGAACTCGTTTTTTTTGGGAAGGGAGACAAAACCTCATAGTTCTGGCTCTATGTCCATTTTGGGGAGCTCCATTCCGGTTCGCCAGTTCCTATTCCAGCGGTAAGTCAAAAAATATATATTTTTCACTCACTCTATACTCCTCCCCATTATGGTTGGAAGGCCCAAGCAGACAATATTGATTACTTTCCTTGGGAAGGATACACCACCTCTCACGCCTAGCGAATTTGGCCTAGTTGATATACTTTTTCGGTTTGGTTGCACAAGTGACCTTGAGACTATTGACCTTTTCCCTGTAATGCTAACTGGTTGTCTATCTCGTATTTGTTCCTTCGGTTGTTCAGCCATCGGAGCTGCTTGGAAAATTAGGGAACTGTGGTTGTTCTATTTTGTGACATGCTATCCTTTGTAAATCATATGGTTACCCTAACTCTTTGAGAGTCTGTGGCCTGAAACCAACCATGCTAAAAACTGCAAGAAACTTTTCCTACACTGCTAGTTTGAGATATTGGATGCATGGAGATGAAAAAGACAAGTGAGAGGGCTTTGCAGTATTTGAAAATTGTGGTCAATTTGTGGTTTAGGATTTAGGATCCAAGTGGGAGGATACGTTTTGATTAGGGTTTAGGGTTTACCAGTTATTCCGGACAATAAGAATCACAGTCTAGACAACTAAATGGAGAGCATTAGGACCACCTATCCGGCCAATTCCAGGTCGTGGAATATGGGTACTAGAGATTCGGATCGAAGGACTTCGGTGCCTACATCTAGACAGGGACACGGAGATGGGGGAGGTATGGAGTCTCGTTCTCTGCGGTCACGGAAGAACAGACCGAGTGGCGACTACAACACAGTTAGGAGGGTAGGTCTCGGCTTAGCTGGTTTGCGGTTATCTTTACCACGGTCACGAGGCAGGCATGTAACAGCAGACACTGCCAGTTGGGATCGAGGGCCGCAGCCGCTGCACGGGACATGCAGTGGAGGTGATCATTCAAGTCCTCGACGGCGCAAGAAGAGGACAGACAACTTGGACGACAACAATGATGGTTGATGCCACAATCCTTTCCTTAGTTCGGTTTCCCAGAGGTCCGACACAGGCTTCGGTTTCTCAACAGTGCAGATTTTGCTCTTCATTTTAGACTTGCTTCATAGATTTTATAGATGTCATGTATTTCTGATGCAGCGTAGGTACTGTGTAGGTTTGTTGTAGTCTTATTACTTATTTCAAACATAGACTACATACTATGCAGATTTATTTAGTGTTTTTTTTTTTTCGGTTTGCATTCTCGTGTTCATGTTCGACAACCATGTTGTATATTATGACATTTTCATATAGTTGTTCTTCGCGCCTCGACATTGCAATTGTTTGAGGTACGAGGGCATTGGTGCAGTGAGACACATATTCACGTATGTGGGCTTGTATGATCTCTCACAACTAATTACTATGTGATAGTTAAAGTGAACAAAAATGCATGAGTTTGTGTCGCGGTCATGTTTGAGTGACATGTGCTTCTTCAACGTTTTTTTTTCCATTGTGCATATTGTTGTTTTTATTGGCAACCACATTCGAGTAAAATAGTCAGAATGTCAAAGACGAAATGTACACAACAAAAATGAATCTACGTGAACTTTGGCAGGTTTCAATGTCACATTTGCATACGTTCGTACTGTGGGAAGCATGGGAGGTCGAGGAGAGTTGTACTGGCATTAAGAGGGGATGGCAGATAGCGGATGTCGATGTGTTAGGGGAGTGTTTGGGGTCATGTGGGGTGTTCAGGGGTACCAACAACCCCCAAGACCCACCAGCACCCCCATAACACCCACCAACACCCACCAACACCCCCCTAACACCCC